AAAGTCAGGAGCCAAGGAAGTCAGACAAAACTAGATCAAGGTTGAGTCAGGAGTTGAGAACCAGCAGATACTCCCCAGTACTGATTGAAGAGATGAAAAGTATGTATAAGGCAAGAAGACAGAAGATGAAGCTGAGTACAGTTTCTGAGACACTGAATGATATAGTCTGGAACCTTCTTATGAGGTACCTGACACCTTCCTAGTGGGCCAAGGGACAGGATTCATGAGTGGGGAGCCTGTTCAGGTTGTCTGAAATTAGGCTCTAGTTACCTAGAAGGATGGGTCCCTTTTTAGGGCCCAATATTTAAATTGTCCATACTCAGAAAACAAATACAATTAATCCTCATGAATATAGACTTGCAGACAGATTTCACATTTAGGAAAACAGACTGATTTCACATTTCATTGCATTATTCCAAAAATTGGTTTCATTCTTTCTTGGATTAATCTTTGATACTTCCCACTCCCTCTTCCTTTCGTGGCCCAAGAAGTGATGCCAACTCTATGTCCTAGAAATTCCTCCTCTCCATTTCTCTTGCCTCTGTCTTATTTCAGCTTTCCTCATCTCTCACACATGCTATGTCCCCCTAATACCTCACAGCATTCAATGGTAGCCTCCTATAATATCTTCCATGATGCAGCCAGAGGGATCTTTATAAAATACAAATACGATTATGTTTCTCGCAGCTTAAAATCTTTTAGTGATTCCCCATAGTCTACACGGGAATGAAGAAACTCCCCCAAGAGTTCAAATGGCCCTTCATGATCCGGCCCTGTAGACACAACAGAGGATTTCCTGTGGTGCCTCATTCCAGCTGTCTGTGCCACTGCAGGCACGACATAGTCACAGTTCTCCAACATCATCATAGTGCCATCTCATGCCTCTCTGCATTTGCAGGCACTATTTTTCCCGGCTGAGATACTTGTGTTTACAATGAAAGCCTCAGTGACCAAATTATGTCCTTGACAAAGAACTTTGGAACAACTAAGCAGTGGGAATGAGGTAAAAAGTATTTATCATATTTTAACTTGTTGAGCTAGTCAAGGAGAAAAAAGGGTGGATGAATGAATTTGGTCCCAAAGTCTAGAACTGGATCTAAACCACAAGGAGGACTTGGTACACAATGGGGAAGAAGTGATTTTGACATTTTCCAATTGTAAGAGCAGGAAAATTTGGGCACAGTTCAAATGTGAGTCTTTAGCTACTTGAGAGAGGGATTTTCAAAATCATGGAGAAAAGATGTGGGTGAATCCTGCATCAAGACTACTGAGGAGATGTTCTTGGGAACAGTTACTTTTAGGATTCCACACTAAAATCACCTGGAGAGCTTTATGAATTACTGCTGCCTGGTTCCGTTCCCTAAGATTTAATTAGTTTGAAGTGTACAGTGGCCATGGGAATTTTTAAAAACAGAATTATCAAACTGGAGAGCTCTGGGAAAGCTTCCCTCAGTGAGATTCATCGCAGGTTTGCAGGGATGGTTCGATTTACATGAATCAATAAATGCAATGTATCTCATTAACAAAGCCAAAAACAAAAACTATGTGATTATTTCAATAGATGCTGAAAAAACTTAATACAGTTCTATATGCCTTTATGACAGAAACTTTCAACAAACTGGGTGTAGAAGAAATATACCTCAAAATAATAAAGGCTGTAAACGACAAGCACACAATTAATATCATACTAAATGGGGAAAAATTGAAAATACTTCAATAAGATCTGCAATAAGACAAGGATGCCTAATTTTCACTCCCTTTATTTAATGTCTTAGTGGAAGCCCTGGCCAGAGCAATTAGGCAAGAGAAAGAAATAAAGGCACCCAAATTGGAAAGGAAAAATTCAAATTAGCTTTGTTTGCAGATGACATAATCTTGTACTTAGAAAAACCTAAAGACTCCACCAAATGTCTGTTAAAACTTATCAGTGAAGCAGGGGAGCTGTAGCATGCAACATTGACTTACAAAAATCAGAAAGATTTTTATACAACAGTGAAAAATCAGAAAAAGAAATCAGGAACGGAATACCACTTACAATAGCTAAAATAATAAAATAAAATGTGTTACACCTGGTAATTAATTTAGCCAAAGAAGTAAAAGATGTCTGCAAGATAAACTATAAAATATTCACGAAAAAAATTGAAGAGGACTCAGACAAAGTAGAAAGATATTCGTACTCTTCAACATCATAGATTGGAAGAATTAATGTTAAAATTACAATACCACCCAAAGCAATTTACTGATTCAGTGCAATCCCTATCAAAATACCAACATCATTCTTCACAGAAATAGAAAAACAATCCTACAATTTTGTGTGGGACCACAAATGACCGCAGATAGCCAAAGCAATCCTGAGCAAAGAAAACAAAGCTGGGGACCGGCACGGTGGCGCATGCCTGTAATCCCAGTCTTTGGGAGGCAGAGGCAGGAGGATCATGAGGTCAGGTGTTTGAGACAAGCCTGACCAACATGTTGAAACTCCATCTCTACTAAAAATACAAAAATTAGCCAGGCGTGGTGGTGCATGTCTGCAATCTGAGCCATTCAGGAGGCTGAGGGAAGTGAATCACTAGAACCCGGGAAGTGGAACTTGCAGTGAGCCCAGATTGCACCACTGCACTCCAGCCTGGGCGGCAGTCAAAAAAAAAAAGAAAGAAAAAAGAAAAAAAAGCAAAGCTGGAGGTATCACATTACCTGATTTCAAAATATACTACAAAGCTATAGTAAGCTAATCAGTATAGTCTAGCATAAAAACACATAGACCAACAGAAGGCCATAGAGAACCCAGATATAAATCCACACATGTGCAGCCAACTCATTTTTGACAAAGTAGCTAAGAACATGCAATGGGGAAAAGACAGTCTTTTCAGTAAATGGTGCTCTGAAAACTGGATAACCATTGGCAGGAGAATGAAATGAGACTCCTGTCTCTCTCTCTCTCTCTCTCTCTCTTTGTGTGTGTGTATATATATATTCATAATGAATTAAATACTTTAATCTATGACCTGATGCTATGATACCATTGAGGAAACGCTATAGGATATTGGTCTGGGCAGAGATTTTTTTTTTTTTTTTTTTGCAAGACCTCAAAAGCACAGAAAACCATAACAAAAATAGACAAATGGGATTACAACAAGCTAAAAAGCTTCTGCACGGCAAAATAAACAGTCAAAAAAAGGAAGAAATAACCCACAGAATGGGAGAAAAGTTTTCCAAATTATCCATCTGACAAGGGATTAATAAGCAGAAAATATAAGGACCTCAAACAATTTAGCAGCGGCAAAACCAAACAAACCAAATAATTTGATTTTTAAAATGGGCAAAAGATCTAAACAGAGATTTCTCAAAAGAAGACATACAAATACCCAACGGGTAAATGAAGAAATGCCCAGCATCACTAATCGTCAGAGAAATGCAGAGTAAAACCACAGTGAGCTATCATCTCATTCTAGTTAAAATGACTTGTGTAAAAATGACAAGGGGGCTGGGTGCGGTGGCTCACGCCTGTAATCCAGCAGCTTGGGAGGCTGAAGCAGGTGGATTACCTGAGGTCAGGGGTTAAATACCAGCCTGATCAACATGGTGAAACCCCATCTGTACTAAAAATACAAAATTAGCCGGGCATGGTGGCACATGCCTGTAATCCCAGCTACTTGGGAAGCTGAGGCAGGAGAATCGCTTGAACCTGGGAGGCTGTGGTTGCAGTGGGCTCAGATCCTGTCATTGCACTCCAGCCTGGGCAACAAGAGCAAAATTCTGTCTTAAAAAAAAAAAAATAGAACTGACTTCTTACCATAATTCCACTGTTGGGTGTATATCCAAAAGAAAGGATATCACTATATTGAGAAACATCTGCACGCCCATGCTCCTAAGTTTATTGCAGCACTATTCACAATGCAGAAAATATGGAACCAACCTACACGCCATCAGTGGGTGGATGGATAAAGAAAATATGATATATATACACAATGGAACATCATTCAGCATAGGAAATAATGAAATGAAATTGTATCATTTGCAACCACATAGATGGAACTAGACGTCATAAGGTTAAGGGCAATAACCCAAATACTGCATGTTCTCACTTACAGGTGGAAGCTAAAAAAGGTGGATCTCATGAAGATAGAAAGTAGACTGGAGCTTTCCAGGGGTGAGGAAGGGTAGAGGGAAGGGAGTGTTGAAGAGAGATTGATTAATGGGTACAAACATACAGTTTCATAGAAGCTAATATCTAGTGTCTAATAGATCAGTAGGGGGAAAAGAGTTTACAATAATCTATTGTATATTTCAAAATTAGAAGAGAGTAATTTGAGGGTTTCTACATAAAGAAAAGACAAATATTTAAGGTGTTGGAAGCCCCAATAACACTGATTTCATATTTGCAAATTATATGAATGCATTAAATGATGTACCCTAAAACTATGTTGGCTATTATCTACCAATAAAAAAATAAAAATAAAAATCTGGCTAGCACTCTCCCCACCCCCAGTCATCCGAAATCTTTCTGTTTCCCATGACTGCTCTAAAATGGCAAATAAGGTTTTCACATTCATTTCTCTAATTTGTGAGTGCCCCAAAGTCTAATTCTTATCCCAAGAGGCCTACATAGATGTGTTTATACGTATATGTATTTTCCTGTACTTTAGATTCTGGGGTACATTTGCAGATCGTGCAGAATTGTTGCGTAGGTACACACATGGCAATGCGGCTCCGCAATGTGCAGCTTACGTCCATGTAGCAGAGAACTGGCACTTCTCTGGTCCCTGAAGTTATGATTCCCAGTTCACTACAAAGACACATTAGCTTGGGGTGGGGTGCGGCGTGAACTAGCACCTCTCGATTGAAAACTTCCTGACAGTGGAGAGTAGGGGCTTTTAACTGCACCCAGAGCGGCCGCTGGCTGCACACCAGGAAAGCCCCGCGGCCTGGGGACCCGCCCCGCCCTCCTGCCCGCCGCCCGCTGTGCTGGGTGGCGCCTGGCCGGGCCCGACTCCGCCCACCTCCCCGCCCACTAGGATCTGACACCCCGCGCAGCCCCGACACCTCTATTCCCGCCACTCCCACCTGTCTCTCCTCGCTCCTGGGCAGCGGTGCCCACAACTGGGGTATGTGTCTAGCTTTGGGAGCTGCTCCCACAAACAGGCAACGGGTTATCCTCTCCCGCGCCCAGGAAACGGTAGGAGCCCGGGAAAGCGAAACCTGCGAAGCGCCCTGAGCGCCCTCCCGGGGCTCCCTCCTTCACTTGGTCTCGGGCCGGGGCCTCCCCGAGGGCAGGGGTGTGGCTGCGCCTGGCTGCGACCCCTGTGGGTCCTGGTGTAGTAGCGGCGGGTGTCGGAGACGATGGCGTGGAGCTGGGGAACGAGCCTCCAGGGTCAGCTCAGCTCAGCATCCAGGAGCTGAGAAGCTGGGGTGCGGACAAGGATGCCCCGATTCTCTCTGCTGAAGTGCTTTTGGGGGCGGGAGGGTGCCGTGACGCCTCAGAACACTAGGACCCTAGGACTCCAGGACCCTGGGAGCGCGCACCTCCAAGAGTCCAGGAGCAGATGGGCCACCACGGGATGAGGGCGTTGCAGAAAGTTCCGTGCTGTGGCTCAGGGCCCCTTGGTCATAGGTGACCCAGCAGAGAGCAGTGCGTTGGAAATTTCTCAGGGGGTTGAAGACCCTTGAGAGAGAGCTAGGGATGGGTCCGGAAGTCATCCTGGACCCTGCGCCTCCCCCAGCGCCTGAGCGCATGGGTTTCACAGGCCTCTCCGGCTTCCAGAGTTTGGCCAACACCACAGTACTTTTGAGAGTGTTCAGGCCTGCAAAGATCATCGTGACGGACATTCCAGATCTTGTTTTTATGAAATTCACTGACAAGATAAAATATTTCAAAATTCATTATCCTTAAGGTGAGATGGTGGGGCCTTTTAATCATATCTTAATTTTGTTGTATTAGATCATATTGCCGCTTAAGTTACTTCCTTTTCTCTTTCTCCCACCCGCTTTAAAAGTAGGTTTGGAAAGCAGAACTTATAGAAAAATGATATTCAGATGCTGTCAGGCATACTCAGATGCTAGGGGGAAACTGGGTCAGGTGTGGGTCCTCTTGCTTCTGGGGTCTGATTGCTCCTGATGACAGGAATGTGGCCCAGAGCTGTCTCCTCCCTGTTGGGGTTGATAATACTGATGTGATAAGTAATGTTCTTATTTGGTTCAATAGTATCTAACAGTAGAATAAAAATATTTTCAGATGTACAATAAATAAAAATTTACGTATTCTGTCTTAGAAAACTATTGCTCCATCAAAAGAAAGGAATGAACCACCAAGCAGAAAAAACACTGGGGTTTAAAACAAAGGACATTGGCAAAGGGCTGTCTTAGGTGAGACAGGGATGCTGCATGCTAAAGAAAAGTGGGTTCAGAAAGGAATAGAGTCAGAAATGGGAGTCATCAAGAGCCGTGGACGCAACACATTGGAATTATGAAAGAGACAGTAGGGCAAGTGCAGCCCAGCAGACAGTCTCTGAATGCAAGAATGTTTAGAAAAGAAAGGTGGGCAATGTAGTTAAATACCAATATAACTTACATCATAGTATATTTAGAAACCAAAATGGAATGTCTATCTCAGTTTTGTCACTGAGATAGATGGTCTTAGAAGAGCAGCAGTATTTTTTGTCAGTAGCAAAACTTGTAGGTTCCCTGAGTATTCAGAATTGGTTTTTTACATCTCTCCTCCTTTGAAACAAAACCAGGAGACGAGCTGATTATGTGTTTAGGGACTGGAAAAATTCAAAATGAGGAAGATATTGTTGCCAGAAAGCAAGAATGTTTGAGATAGGGAAAAAAGAAAGTAACCAACTTAAAGAGATTCTCAATAGAAAAGCTGTGACAATTTGAGCATTGGCTTGGGAAGGGATAGCATTAGGATAAATATCTAATGTAGATGATGGGGTGATGGATGCCGCAAACCACCATGGCACATGTATACCTATGTAACAAACCTGCACGTTCTGCACATGCACCCGAGAACTTAAAGTATAATTTTAAAAAAAGAACAAAACAAACATCTGTTAACTGAAATACATTGTTACTACAAAGCCAACAGTCTGTTAATAAATTCAGAAGAATCAAATAAGATAAGTTTAAAAGGAAGTAGGAAATAATTTCAATATTATTTATAGGAAATGCTGTGTGATGGTCCATCTGTGGCTGCTGTGTAGAAATTGTGACTGTAAGCTCACAGGTTGACAAGCACAGTGGTTACACAAACCAACTGAAGGCTTAAACAATAAACCAAAAGACATAGAGCCAACATCTGTGATACAACTCTGTTATGCAACCTAGATAGAGGAAAACCTCAAATAAGACCACATTTCAAGGAAAGGCATTAGGCAACAAAAATAAAAATAAAATTTAATGGTATCCTGAGTGTTTGCAAAAATTGCAATGAAGGGCCAAACCACAAAGCTCTTCTTATATTTGCTTGGCTTTAAAAATATTGTTTGACTATAAAAATAAAGAGCAGCATGCCTTGAAAAGTAGCCGGACAGCTCAATCAGATCCCACGTCCCAGTCATCAGTCTGACTGCCCATCCCTTTGTTTTGTGAAAAGAAGGTGGTTTGTTATTAATTTAACCCCAGACAATGATTAAACATTACTATCAATTCAGGAAATATAGAAAAATGCAGCAAATATAAAGTGAATAAAACCCATGGTATTAATAGTGTTATGCAAGAAATAAGTTTTATAATCACAGGTGTACTGTTTTGGGTATTTTGAAAACGTCTTTGAAGGTCTCAGGACAATCTAATTTACTAGGTTTATAAATGTGTATTTAGGCTGGGTGAGTGGCTTACACCTGTAACCGCAGCACTTTGGGAGGATGAGGCAGGTGAATCACCTGAGAGGTCAGGAGTTTGAGAGCAGCCTGGCCAACATGCTGAAATGCCGTCTCTACTAAAAATACAAAATTAGCCAGGCATGGTGGCACGCACCTGTAATCACAGCTACTCAAGAGTCTGAGACAGGAGAATCACTTGAACTTGGGAGGCGGAAGTTGCAGTGAGCCAAGATCACGCCATTGCATTTCAGCCTGGGCAACAAGAGAGAAATTCCATCTCAAAAAAAAAAAAAAAAGTGTATTCAATAACAATAAGTCGGCCGTTAACTAAAGTGTAACAGTAGGAAAAGTTGTTCTCTGCTTATGAAAATTCTGCATTGGAAATGAAAATTTTACAGATTAAAGAAACCTGCACTCACCAGCAGGGTGAGAGACTGTGGGAGATGAGCAGTGGGACTGACAGATTATTTATATGTGGTTGAGCATATAAAGAAATTATAGTACTGAAAAGTTTTGACTGATTGGTGGAACACTTGGGGGGAATTTGCTATATATACAATGAAAGCCAAAGAAGGTGGGGTGGAAGCAATGTTAACATAAGGAAGAACAGAGTCATGTGAGAACAGGAATGGATTCCTTGTTCGCTGCTTGGCTTAGCTATGAATACTATTTAAATGCAATAAAGCAAGCACTTAGATAGAGGAGGTGAAGCATAGTGACTGAAGTTAGTGATGTAATTCCCTAAATAAGGAAGGCAATAGATAATGTCTAAAATTGTTAGGTCAAAATCAGTAGTATACATGTATTATACCTACACCTAGAGGTAAATGCCAGGAGAAAGAGCAAGCTGACTTGTGATTGATTGTTTCTAGGAAGTTGGGAGACATGGAAAGGTGCCTGGGTTGATTTGTACAATGTCTCTCCTGGAATTATTTGACTTACAACTAAGTGCCAGTTCATTAGCAAAACTGACTAAATGACACTAAAAAGAATATACGCATATTGCCAAAAATGCAAAAATACAGAAGGACATAACTAATGTCAAAATTACCCATTGCCCAGAAATATTTTATGTTCAGTGTTTCCTTCTAGTCTGTTTATTTGTGAATTTAACGTTTGTGGAACTTTATTTCTAATTTACACTTAATATGAATCTTCATTTACATTTAATCACACATGTGACAGAATCTAACTGGTTCTCTGTGGTAGGCCATTTAAAGGTTATCTCTGTAGCATATGAAGTGCTTCAATTGTCATCTTTCTGCATAGCATTTTGTATCAGTGCATGTGAGTTTTACTTTCAGTGAAATTCTTTGGAATGAATTTTCTTATTATGAATGTATAAATATTTTTTTGGCATTTTCTTTTTTCTACCCTTCCTCCTTCCCTCTCTTCCTTCCTTCCTTTTAAAGACATAATTCTAAATTACACTCTGGAAATATTGGTGTCCTAATTTACATAATCAGTTGTAGAGTACAGGAAGGAACACCTATTTTACCAGTACTGGGAATTAATAGCTTCTATACTTATAAATTTCATGTTTTAAAAAGATAGCTATAACTTGCTGTCTGCTTTTTCTTCTTCTCTTTTTTAAGAAGACCTTGACCCATGGTGACTAAGAGGGTAAGAGGAACCCTAGAGCTACAGGGTTCCTCAGCAGCCACAGACCTGGCTGTTAATCCTGCTTTGCGGTTTGTAACTGGGTGTACCCAGAGGCAAGATATTGACACAGTGAAGACTCCATTTATTTGTTTGTAAAATGCAAATATTCACTGCACCTACCACATCAGGTTGTATGGATTAAATGAAATCTTGCAACAAAAGCCCCAGTTTAGACTATTAATAAATAAAGTGAAAATGCAATACATAAGAAGCCGATGTTGATGTAATATTGTTTTTAAATCCATTGTTTCAGGTTCACTGTCATGGATGCTCTATCAGAAGCAAATGGGACCTTTGCATTAAACCTTTTGAAAAAGCTAGGGGAAAACAACTCGAACAACATATTTTTTTCACCCATGAGCATATCATCAGCCTTGGCCATGGTCTTCATGGGGGCAAAGGGAAACACCGCAGCTCAGATGTCTCAGGTACCTAAAGCTACTTCAAGACAACAATAACTGCTATTAATTTGTCAGTAGCGCTGGTCTTTCATGTTTAAAATCTCAAAGAGATTCCTCTTTTAACAGTTAACTCTGCCAGTATCACAGGGATGTGGGTGGAGAGTTAGCAGGATGGAGCGTGTTACCACTGCCTGACCATTTTTGGTGTCCTGAGGTCACTTCTGTGGGTATTTCCTCAGAGAGCTGGGCTAGAGGGTCCAAGAAGGTTTCACTTACATGCTTGTATCCTACAAGCAAGTCTTTTCATTCCTCCAGGGCCCTTGTGCTTCCTTACACCATGGTAGCTGAGTTATAAGAGAGTCCAAGTGGAACCTGCCAGGCTTTTAAAGGTCTAGGTTTAGAACGGAGTTACTTCTGCATTCTCTTATTAAAAACAAGTCACAGGGCCGTCCCAGGTCCTAGAAAAGGGAAGAGAGACTCCACCTTTTGGTGTCAAGAGCACCATGTAGATGCAGAGATAGAACACACGGTTGGCAGCTGTGTTTTTAGACAAAGTACCACAAACAGCATAAGTAACCTGAATCATTTTGCTTGGGTTTGTAAAAGGCATATCCAGTCATACCAATATTTAGATAACTTTGGTTTTCCATAGGAAATGATTATAGGGAGGCTTAAGAAGAGCTATCAGTAGGGAGACTGGGTAGATTTCAACACACTTTCTATCTAATAGTCCATTCCCACACTGCTATGAAGAAATACCTGAGACTGGGTAATTTATAAAGGATAGAGTTTTAATTGACTCACAGTGCCACATTCTTGGGAGGCCTCAGAAAACCTACAATCATGGCAGAAGGCAAAGGAGAAGGAGGCAGTTTCTTCTCAGGGTAGCAGGATAGAGCGTGTGCCAGCAGGGGAAATGTCAGGCACTTGTAAAACCATCAGATCTCGTGAGACTCACTCACTGTCATGAGAACAGCATGGAGGAAACTGCCTTTATGATCCAATCACCTCCACCTGGTCTCACCCTTGACATGTGGGGATTATGGAGATTACAATTCAAGATGAGATTTTGGATGGAGACGTAGCTAAACCATATAAATTAGATTAATCGTCTTTTATGCCATAGAAAGGATCTGAAAATCTCTTAATGTTGAATTTAGCACTGTGCCTATTTTTGAAGTCAGGGAATACAGAATCTGTGTATTTTATTATTATTATTATTTTTATTTCAGGCACTCTTTTTTAGTAAAATTGGAAGTGAAGATGGAGATATTCACCAAGGTTTTCAGTCACTTCTTGCTGAAATTAACAGAACTGACACTCAGTATTTGCTTAGAACTGCTAACAGGCTCTTTGGAGAAAAGTCTTATGACTTCCACACAGTAAGTTGTACTTGTGTTTTATTAAAAAAAATAAAGAGAGTAATGTGATGGACAGTAGTAGAAAGAACGTGGGCTACGAATTCATACAGGTGGGGCAGAATTCACAGCTTCATTCCCTAACCTCACACGGCTCCTCTGATTATTTTACTGTCTGTAAAATAAGTCTTATAGCAAATACTGACAAGATTTTCATGAAGCTTAAATGAGTTAATCTTTATAAAAGAACTGACTGACACAGAGCATAGCACAATTGGAGATGAATCAGCCAAAGCAAAGAAATGATCAGAATGCGTATTTCTAGTAATTGCTTTGCAGATGTTGTTAACTTTTTGTGCATGGTGACACTTCTCTAACCTTTTATGCGTTTAAATATTTTGATATGATTTTTGGACACTGCAAATCTTTTAAAACATATTTTAGCTGACTACCTTGGCTCCATTTGTTGACAAGGCTTTAATGATTTTTTTTTAAACAAAGGTGCTCAAGTAATTCCTTGTTAAACAAAAATGCAAGTAATGCATATAAATCAGCAATCCTCATTAACTTCTAACTCCAATACTCCCCTTCTCAATGTCTGAGCTTTTATAAATTTGAAGTGTACTCTGCTTCACATACAGAAGTGCTGCTTTTTGAAGTTTCCTCCCTACATTGTTATTATACTATATATACTATACATATTGTTTTATACTTTATTTCCTTTTACTTAACAATATGCCTTAAATTCTTTTCATCTCAGCATATGCATATCTATATCACTTTTTAAAACCAATTTTCTGGTATTCCTAAGTATGACTGTACCAAGATATAGTAAATCTTTCCCTTACTGATGAGAATTTAGGTTATATTTAATCTGGGCCATTACAAACAATAGTACCCTTGTACAAGATTTTGTGTTCATGTACACTAGTTATTATCTAAAATGGATACGCAGAAAGGAGGAAGGGAATGAGACTTTGAAGTTTTAATAAATATTGTCAAATCACTATTACTAGTGTTGTAGCCATTTACACTGCCCAAAGGATATGTGTGTGGTGCTCATTTCCACCTACTATCAACAGCACTGCATTCTGTAAACCTATAAACTTTTTGAAGGGCAGGGACAAGATATCGGACTAGAAGCAGCTCATATGTACCTCATGAGAATAAATAGAAAGGCTAATGAACATTGACCCTGCACACTGATCAATCATCTGAGAAATTACATCGGGTTCCATCAAGGCAGGAGGGGTGCACAGAGAGCAGAGAGGAAGGAATCAAGGAACCAGTCCAATTAAGCTCACCGTGAAGCCGGGAGATTCTCTTCAACACAGGAAAGGGCGAGTGAGTGAGAGCCCCCAGGGGGATTCATGCTGTCTCCCAGGACCTGTGCATGACTGAGAGGGGAAAATCCCCCTGACCCCCAGCACCCCACCGCTGCACTTCTAGACTGAGGCAGAGAGCCACCTGGACTTATGGTAGAGGCAACTTTCAAATCCAAGAAGACCACTATAAGCCTTGGACCCCGAAGCAGACCATCACTGGTGCCATATCCCCAACAGAAGCCACAGTTGCAGTGCCTGGGAGCATTAAGTTTGCTCCACCCCTTCTTACCAGACAGGGCTTGGTGCCAGCTTCTGCCCAGTGGTCCTGCTTTTGTGTGAACTGACCTGGGGATCACAGCCTCATGTTTTCCCAGGAAACACCCAGATGGCAAGGTGCATTATCCCACCCACCACTTATAGCCAGGAGGACAATGCTTGGTAGAGCTTCTGGCCCAGTGGTCCCACTTCTGTGTGAACTCAACTGGAGGGTGTACTTTTATCTTGTCCCCAGAAACACCTGGGTGGCAAAGATATTCAGGACCTGAACTCAACACTTGATCAATGGACCAAATAGATATCTGCAGACCTCTCCACCCCAAAACAATAGAATATACATTCTTCTAATCTGTACATGGCATATGCTGTAAAACTGACCACACAATTGGGCATAAAACAATACCCAGCAAATTCTGAAAAATGAAATCATACCAACCACATTCTTGGACCACAATACAATAAAAATAGAAATCAATGTTAAGGAAAATTGCCCAAAAAACACACAATTACGTAGAAATTGAACAACCTGCTCCTGAATGATTTCTGGGTAAATAATGAAATTAAGACAGAAATCCACAAATTCATTAAAGCTAATGTGAACAAACACCATAACAGAGTATCTGGGACACACCCAAAGCAATGTTAAGAGGGAGGTTTATAGCTCTAAATACCCATATTAAAAAGTTAGAAAGACTCCAAATTAACAACATAACATTACAATTGAAGGAACTAGAGAAACAAACCAGCCCCAAAGCTAGCAGAAGACAAGAAAACCAAAACCAGAGCTGAACTAAAGGCAGCCGAGATGTACAAAATCATACAAAAAGCAGTGAATCCAGAATCTTTTATTTGTATGGCTAGTGGTCTATCTATATGATTAATTTGAAAGAATTAATGTTTCAGATTTGTGTCAGAGATGACACAAACAAATGGAAAAAGATTTAATGCTCAGATTAGTTCCTATTCAACAAATGTTGCTGGGATAACTGGCTAGCCATATGCAGAATTTTGAACGTGGACTTCTTCCTTACACCATGTACAAAAAGCAACTCGAAATGGGTTAAAGACTTAAATGTAAAACCTAAAACTATAAAATGCCCGGAGGATAATCTAGGAAATACCATCCTGGACATAGGAACTAGCAAATATTTATAATGAAGACACCAAAAGCAACTGCAACAAAAACAAAATTTGACAAATCATTTGAAAGAATTAATCATATAGATAGACAACTAGCTATACAAATAAGGAAAATAAAAAGAACTCATCAGAATCAGAAATGACAAAGGGGCATGACCACTGACCCTGCAAAAATACAGAAAGCACTCAGAAACTATTATGCAGACCTAGAAATAAGTAAATAAATTAGGTAGAAAACCTAGAGTAAATAAATAAATTCTGGCAAACATGCAATATCCCAAGATTGAATCAGGAAAAGATTGAATCTAATCTTCATTGAACAGACCCAATAGCAACTTTTGAAATTTAGTCGGTAATAAAAAGCTTACCAACCAGAAAAAGGACCAGTTGTCAGGACCAGATGGACTGACAACTGAATTCTACCAGATGTCTAAGGAAGAGTTAGTACCATTTCTACTGAAACTATTTTTAAAAAAAATGAGGAGAAGGGACTCCTCCCCAGCTCATTCTATGAGGCCAGCATCATCCTGATACCAAAACCCAGCAGAGACAGAATGAAAAAAAAAAGAAAGAAAAAAGAAAGTATCATGCCAATATCCTTGATGAAGATAGGTGCAAAAATACTCAGCAGAATGCTAGCAAACCGAATCCAGCAGCATTTCAAACAGCTGGTCCAAAATTATCAATTAGGCTCTATCCCCTTGGATGCAAGATTCACTTAATTTAAACAAATCAAAAATGTGGTTTACCACATAAACAGAACACAAAAAAATTACATGATCATCTCAATAGATGCAGAAAAAGCTTTCTATAAAATTCAGCATCCTTTCATGTTAAAAACCCTCAACAAACCAGGCATTGGAGGAAAATACCTCAAAATTTTAGGAGTCATCTATGAAAAACCCACAGCCAACATCTGAATGGGCAAAAGAAGGAAGCATTCTCCTTGAAAACTGGAAAACAACAAGAATGCCCTCTCTCACTAATCCTATTCAAGTGGAAGTCCTAGCCTAAGGAATTAGACAAGAGAAAGAAGTGAAAGGCATCTAAACAGAAAGAGAGGAAGTCAAAGTATCCTCTTTTGCAAATGACATGATTCTATACCTAGCAAACCCCATAGTCCTGCTCAAAAGCTCCTCAATTTGATAGATAAACAACTTCAGCAATGTTTCAGAATACAAAAATCAATGTAAAAAAGTCAGTATCATTTTTATATACCAACAACATTCAAGCTGAGAGTCAAATCAATAACATAATCTCATTGTAAGTATCCACAAAAAAAAAAAAAAAAAAAGAAAAAAAATACCTAAGAATACAGCTAACCAAGGAAGTGAAAGACTTCTACAATAAAAATTACAAAACAGTGCTCAAAGAATCAGAGATGACCCAAACAAATGCAAAAATATTTCATGCTCATAAATAGGAAGAATCGATATTGTTAAAGTGGCCATACCATCCAAAGCAACTTATAGATTCAATGCTATTTGTATAAAACTACAATTACATTCTTCGCAGAATTAGAGAAAAAAAAAACTATTTTAAAACTTACATGGAACCAAAAAGAGAGCCCACATAGCTAAGGCAATCCTGAGCAAAAAGAACAAAACTGGAGGCATCACATACCTGGCTTCAAATTATATTTGAAGGTTACAGTAACCAGAACAGCATGGTACTGGTCCAAGAACAGACACAATGACCAATGGAACAGGATTCAGAGGCTGGAAATAATGCTACACACCTACAACCATCTCTATATATGACAAAAACTACCCATGGAGAAAGGACTCCTATTCAAGAAATGTTGGCGGGATAATTGGTTAGCCATATGCAGAATTTTGAAAGTAGACTTCTTTCTTATACCATGTACAAAAATCAACTCAAAATGGATTGAAGACTTAAATGTAAAACCTAAAACTATAAAATCCCTGGAAGACAGTCTAGGAAATATCATCCTGGACATAGGAACTAGCAAATATTTCATAATGAAGACACCAAAAGCCACTACAACAAAAACAAAAATTGACAAATGGGACCCACTTAAACTTAAGAACTTCTGCACAGAACAGACACACAAAAACTATCAAGACAGTAAGCAGACAACCTATAAAATGGGAGAAAATATTTGCAAACTATAAATTAAGTAAAGGTCTAATATCCAGAATCTACAAAGGATTTAATTTTACAAGCAAAAAACAAATAACTCCATTAAAAAGTTGGCAAAGGACATAAACAGGCACTTTTCAAAAGAAGACATATATGTTGCCAACAAACATGAAAAAATGCTCAACATCACCAATCATTAGACAAATGCCAGTCAAAATCACAATAAGATAGCATCACACAGCAGTCAGAATGGCTATTATTAAAATGTCAAAAAATAACATGCTGATTAGGCTTCAGAGAAAAATAAACAGTTAGTGAGAATGTAAATTAGTTCAGTCACTGTGGAAAGCACTTTGGAGATTTTCAAAGAACTTGAAACAGAATTTCCATTTGACCCAGCAAGCCTATCATTGGATATGTACCCAAAGGAATATAAATTCTTCCACCGTAAAGACACATGCACAGGTATGTCCATTCCAGCACTACTCACAAGAGCAAAGACATATCATTGACCTAAATGTCCATCAATGGTAGACTGGATTTTTAAAAATGTGGTACATATACACAGTGGAATACCATGAAGCTATAAAAATGAATGAGATCATATCCTTTGCAGCAACATGGATGGAGCTAGAGGCCCATTATCCTAAGCAAATTAACCCTGTAACAGAGAACCAAATACCTGTACTGCATTTTCTCACTTGTAGTTGGGAGCTAAACTTTGAGTAAACATGGACACAAAGAAAATAACAAGAGATACCAGGGCCAGCCTGAGGATGCAGGGTGGAGGAGGTTGAGGATCAAAAACTACCTAACAGGTGCTATGCTTATTAGTGATGGATGTAATCTGTACACCAGTCCCCCACAACATGCAATTTAACTATATAACAAACATGCACATATATTCCCGAACCTAAAATAACAGTTTAAAAAAGATAGCCTCAGATAAAAAGATTACAACATATATGATAGACAAGTGCTAATACCCGTAAAGCAAGAAAGCACCAAAAATGCCATTTGGATTGTTAATGGAATTAAACAGCTTTTCCCTTTTTTTTCTAATCAAACTGCTTAATCAGCTGTTTATATTATAGAACAAAATGTAAAATTTAAGTTCACTTTTTAAAATTTTTACTTTAAGTTCCCCAGATACAAGTGCAGAATGTGTAGGTTTGTTATGTAAGTATACACATGTGGCATGGTGGTTTGCTGCACCTATCAACCCATCATCTAGGTTTTAAGCCCCAGATGCATTAGCTGTCTGTCCTAATGCTATCCCTCCCCTCACCTCCCAACCCCTGATTGGCCCTGGTGTGTGTTGTTCCCCTTCCTGTGTCCATGTATTATTATTGTTGAACAGCTTTTCTATGTGAATTGAACATTTCTAACTTTTCTGTGAATCACCTGTTTAATTTCCTTTGCAGATTTTCCATGGGGCAGGATGTCTTTTTCTTACTGATTTACAAGAATTCTCTATATTTGGGATATCGCTCTTACTGTGTTATGTGATGTTTTCATTATTTTTAAAACTTGTTTCAGAATCTAAATTAATTGTTTCAAAACCAACTGGTATACAAGAAAGGTTGTGAAGCATAAAGTTAAATAGTTATAAGTTTTGTACATTATAGTGTGATTTTATATTTCAATTTTTTTATAGTCTTAGCTACTATTTAGGTTATTACCACCTTTTATTAGCCCTCTATATAAAGAAAAACAAAACTCCAACATACAAAATACACTGTTGGTAGATATTTTAAGAAAATAATTGATGTTTAAGATGTTATTTTGATATTGTAATACAAATAAAAAATAAGAAATACTTAACTATTTCTCCTTAATTTCTTATTCATTTATTTATTCTTATTTCCAAAATCCAAGACCAATAGCAGTAGATAATTAGATGTTCTTTTAGTGGTATTCTTCATGGCTTCTAAAATAGTAAGTTAATTTAGCTGACAATTAATTATTTTAAAATGTTTAAAAGCTGAAAAGATCACCTAGGGCTGCAACAAGTCATCAATATGTGATTTATCAGTTTTATTTCTGATTGTTTTCTTAGTTTGAGAAATTCCAAATTGGCAAAGCCTGAATTGTGGGAGGACTAAATAAAATGATGTACATAGATCAGTTATGCAATGCAATGTCATGAAAATGCAAAAATGTTACATGAAAAAGTGAAAATAATTCATCAGGTATTCACCGTAATCTTGTGAGGTGTAGGTATTACTGCTTCCCTGTTCTACCAGACAGAACATGGAGGCATAAAGAGAAATTTTTTGAAGATCCCACAACTAGTAAGTTGCAGAACTTGTGTTCATAACTATTGCTATATTTCTTCTCCAATGCTGTACTGAAAAGGAAGTATAAAATTCCAAAATAAAAACCAAAACCTGAATAGGGGAATTAAATATTTACCGGTGAGCAATAGGAGAGAAAGATTAGGAAACAATTCCATAGTGCACGGACAACAAATTAATTACTTCAATCCATTTAATTTCCTCCACAGATTCTGCTTTTATATAGCATAATGTAGGTCTTCATGAATATCCTGTAATTCCATAGAGTAACTGATTACAGTTTGGACTCTTTAGTAAAGTTTATCATACTCAAAAACATCCAGAATGTTCGTAACATGTGGTTATGAACATTTCAATGTAATTAAAGTAAATGTTTACCTCCTCAGTCCCACTAGCCATATTTTTAGCACTCAATAGCTCTATGTGGGACCACTCTGGACACTGCAGATTTAAAACTTTCCCAGCATTGTAGCAAGTTCTGATAGAAATTGCTGGTGTAGTAGTATATATTCTACTCACTTAATTTATGGAACAACAGATCCAGTTTTATACTCTGTTATTCTAAAATGTAGATGTAGACATAGCACTTGCTGTATTAATCCTTACTCAACAAATATAATGGTTTACAAAGCAACAGATTCTATAGTCAAAGTATCTTGAAGTTTTTTTGTTAAAGACTTTATTTTTAAAAGCAGTTTTAGGCTCACAGAAAATTGAGCCTCTCCCATTATTAACTAACTCTCCCATAATGAACTCTCCCATCATGAATATGCTATGTGCGTGCATAACCTCTCCTGTCAATTAACATCCCCACCAGAGTGGTGGGCGACATTTTAGTTGCTTCCACCTTGGGCAACTATGAATAAAGCTGCTATGAATATTTGTGTGCAGGTTTTTCTCAACACCGAATCTGGTAAATGCTAAGGGTCATGACTGCTGAGTCATATTGCTGCATCATATTTTTAGTTTTATAAGAAACTGCCAGACTGTCTTCCAAAGTGACTGTACAATATTGCATTCCCATCAGCAATGAATGAGGGTTCCTGTTGCTCCATGCTTTCTTCAGCATTTAGTGTTGTCAGTGTGTTTTCACTTTCATTTAGTTCAAAATGTTTTTAGTGTCTTTTGAGATTTTTGTTTTGATTCATGTGTTATTTAAAAGTGTGCTGTTTAATCTCCAAGTACTTTTGAATTTTTCAGCGATCTTTCTCTTACTGATTTCGAGATTAATTCCATTGTAGTCTGAAAGTAGACATTACATGATGTTTATTATTTTAAATAAGATAAGTTGTGTTTTATGGCCCGGAATATGGTCTATTTTGGTGAATGCTGCACGTAAGCTTGGAAAGAATGTGTAATCTGCTCCTGTTAGATGAAGTAGTCAAGGACAATTATATCTACTTATTTGGTGATTGTCGTTTAGTTCGACTATGTTCTTACTAATTTTCTGCTTTCTGGGTCTTTCCATTACCGATAGAGGCATTTGAAGTCTCCAATTACCACAGTGGATTCATCTATTTCTCCTTTCAGTTCTGTTTTTGCCTTTTGTATCTTGATGCTCCGCTATTTGGTGCTTACATGTTAAGGATTGTTATGTCTCCTTGGAGATTTCTCAGTGCCTTTTATTATCTCACTGATGCACTGCCACTCTCTTGAAAGATCCAGCAGCTGATGAAATTTATTTGTTATGTAGATCATTATATTACTTAGTTTATAAGCTAAGATTAAGAATAGCTGAAAAGAATTTGGTCTTTCGGTTAATTTCTCACATTTGCAATTTATATATGGTAAATGATAAAATTATTGATTTTCTGATGTGTCACAATGAAGAAGTAAGTTGTTGGTGTTATTTCGTTAGCTGTGAAATTATGTTGCTCAATTTTTCCTAGTCTTTTACAGATTCCTGTGGCAAATTCTACCAGGCAAAGGTAAAACAGCTTGATTTTCTCAATGATACAGAGACATCCAGAACACACATAAACACCTGGATTGCTGAAAAAACTGAAGGTGAAAACATATTGCTATTTTATTTCAATAACGTTTTAAACAGTCATACAGTCAGTTTCTTTATAAAACTGTCACATATGACAAGGAGTGCAGTTTTCTCTAAATAACTACGCAAACTTTAAGAGCTTGCTTCTGAAATATTGCTGGAGTGTAGAGCTTTTCTCTAGCTTTATCCCTGCACTTATCATCTATCTGTGCTATCTCTCAATATGCAGTGCATCTCTTCCAGAAGAACATGCACATTTTTATTGTTAATATTAGGTGGGGTTTCTATTAACACATAGCATTAACTTTGGAATTTAAAGGACTCCCTCTCCATTGCCTATGCTCTATGGTTTATCTATGCAATGTGGCAGGATGCTTGGCCATGCCCGTTTTTTTTGTTTGTTTGTTTTGTTTGTTTGTTTGTTTGAGACAGAGTCTCACTCTGTTGCCCAGGCTAGAGTGCAGTGGTGCGATCTCAGCTCACTGCAACCTCCATCTCCCAGTTTCAAGCAATTCTCCTGTCTTAGCCTCCCAAGTAGCTGGGATAGCTGGGACTGCAGGCACCTGCCACCATGCCTAGCTATTTTTTGTATTTTTAGTAGAGGCAGGGTTTCACCTTGTTGGCCAGGCTGGTCTTGAACTCCTGACCTCAAATGATTCATCCGTCTCGACCTCTCAAAGTGATGGAATTACAGGTGTGAGCCACCATACCCAGCCAGTCATGCCTTTTTAAATCTTTAGTTCTTAAAATGTTCTTATACTTGCTACAACTACTCACGTTTTTGCCAATCTTTTATGTGTCTTTCTTTAAGCCATGGGCACCAATCATTCCCTGCTATATATTATCAGATCATCCTTTTCTCATTAATATCTACTTGTTTGTTTTATACATCTATTCAAATTGTGATTTTTTATTACAAGAGCTCTATTTCAAGTTTTTATTGCAGTGTTGTTACTGTGGTTGTTGTGAGGATAAGCATCCCTTTACATGATTTTATTTTGGGACACCATGAACTACCTTCATGCACACTTGATTTCTCAAACAGATGACATGATCTGGATATCCCTCCTGATACAATCATCTGGGAATACTTTTAGCTAAATGGTTTTTTAATTCTTCTTTACAGGTAAAATTACAGAGATGCTCTCTCCAGACTCAGTTGATTCATTGACTAAACTGATTCTTGTGAATGCCATCTACTTCAAAGGAAACTGGGAGAGTCAGTTTGAGAAACACAGGACCAGGAAAATGTCTTTTAAAATTAGCAAGGTGAGTATTTTGCAATTTCAAAGGTGATTCTTGGGAGCAGTCTCTGTCTTCATACTGGCTTTAAAACATGACTTTTGGTAGATTTGACCATGACCCTTTGGTCATCCAGCAGCAGGACTCCCCTCCAAACCTGTGGGCCGTTCCTCTACCTTTCATCTCGTTTTTGTGTCTCATCAACGGTGGCTACATACTCCCAGGCTTCCAGTCCAGCTTCTATCTCGTCTGTATTATGCACTTTCAATATTACACATCTGAGTGTATAGTCCTTGGCTTCCCAAAACTTAGGAGATAAACTCAAATGAATGGTATGATGTGTGAGGCTCTTCGTAATCTGGATCTCGCATATTTCTCTATCTTCATTTCTCATCAGTACCTACATGCTCCTTTCTTTCATTCATTGTTCCTTCTGGAAAGCCTTTTGACAATGCACTTCCCCAAGCTGCCTCTTCGTCCAAGCTGTCACAGCGATTCCTTCCACTCTGTGGTGGCATTGCAGTGGTTGAATCAGGTGTTCCTTTTCCCACTTGGCTTGTTGCTGTTTGAGTGAGAAAATGCTACCTTACCAGTGCTTAGCTCACACTTGTGCTCAACAAGTACTGAACCAATAAATTATGTTCAGTCTTCTGTTGATAATAAAGATGAATAAGCACAAAATTTTACCTAAAAAACAGGTGAGCAAAAACACATACACAGGACAGACATGGAGTTTAGCTACCTCCAACTCAGAATACATTATTTGCAAAAGGCCCTTTGTCTTTCTCTAAATCTGCTTTATTCTTTCTTTTTCGTTTAACTCTAGAACTTTCTGGATATATTCAAAAGTAGTAGAATAGATTAAGTTAATTATTAATCACTGGTTAAATCTTCCATGCCCACTTGCGCCTGATTGAGTCTTTGGTTTCTCAAGGAATGTATTTTCTTTCTAGCTTTATTTTGAAATGAACTGTTCCATTTTCCCCTGGAAAACTATTTCTGTCCTTAAGTTTTTTAAAACAAGATGTGTGCTAGGATTTCATTGAACCGCAGTTGACAGAAAACTCAACACACAAGGTTTAAACTCCTGATATTCTTCTTCCACAACAGGAATTCTGGAGGTAAGCAGAGGCCAAGCCTGATGTGGGTTGTAAGAGAAGGTTTCAGGGACTCACCCTCTCTTCTGCTCTGTCTTCTTTACTTCCATGACTTAATTCCTCATGCTCACAAGCTGATTCAGACATTAAACACACAATGCAGGCAAGAGAAAGCAGGATTGACAGAGGGGGAAGAGTAAATCTTCTCTTTCTGAGGTTCTGGCATTTTTCTCATGAAGGAAAGCTTTTTTTCTTTCTCACTGGCAAGAATTATTTTATGCTATAAGGAGGTGAAGATTTCCGTTTTGCTTTCTAGTCTTTACACACAAAAAACCCAAGTTGCAATTAGTGGTAAGTGTACCAACCTATGTACTTTCTCAAAGGGCACAGAGTTTGAGATGTTATAAATTTTCATTTTAATTCTTTAATTACAAAATGAAGTAAAACCCACCTATATAATTGCATATTTAGTAAATCATTCAGTTACTGCAAATGACCAAGTGTGGATGCTTTTATATTGCAAGACTAGAGCTTTCGGGATCTGAAAGTGGGGGCAGGAATTTCCTAGACCAGTAGTTGGCAAACAATGCCCAATGGTCAGATCCAGTTCATCATTTATTTTTATAAATAAAGTTTTATTGAAACATAGCTATGTTCATATGCTAAAATACCATCTATAGGTGCTCTGATTTTAAATAGCAAAGTTAAGTTCCATTGAGTGTCCCTAACTTGAAAATTCAAAATCTGAAATGCTCAAAAAATCTGAAACTTTTTGACCACCAACATGATGCTCAAAGAAAATGGTCATTGAAGCATTGTGGATTTCAGATTTTTAAGATTAGGGATGCTGAACCGTAGGTATAATGCAAATATTTCAAAATCTGAAAAAAAAATCCAAAATCTGAAATGTTTCTGGCTCCAAGCATTTCAGGTAAGAGATACTCAATCTGTAGATGCAACAGACACTGTACAGACACCAAGCTGAAAATGCCTACTATTGGGCCATTTCCAGAAACAAGTTTGCTGAAACCTCACTAAAAGTGACAGAACTAAAGAAGAAGAGGATATTGACGGCTGAGCCTTAGTTTGTGTGAGCAACAATGTGAAGATAAAAGCTGAAACACAAATATTTTGGGGTTCATTTATTTAATATAGAATTATATATCTGAGAACTGGGACTATAAACTATTTTTGACTATTACTCTAATATTCAATAAATTCACAGTAGCTGCTACTATTAACTTACAAATGACTCAGGAATTGAGCAGAATTATTGTGCAGAGCATAACATAATCATGGTCCTCAGATCTTTTCTACTGTCTGACTATGTGTTAGAAACAAGTGCAGTGTTCTTCTAGTAAGTTGTGTTAATTTTTCTTTCAGTATTTTTGTTGTTAAGTTTGTTTATTCATTTATTTAATGAATAATGATTGAGTGCTCACTATGTGTCATGTATCGTATTAGGTACTATTCCAGACCTGTTCAAAATCTGCAAAGTGTCCCTCTCCTCATGAAGCTTACATGTTCTTGGAGGAGAAAGACAGTAAATACATATTTAAAAGCAGTGGTATGGAGACAGGTACAAAGAAAAGGTAATAGAAAGTTGAGGTGGGGTCGGGTGCGGTGGCTCACACTTGTAATCCCAGCACTTTGGGCAGCTGAGGCGGTCAGATCACCTGAGATTGGGAGTTCGAGACCAGCCTGACCAATGTGGAGAAACCTCGTCTCTACTAAAAATACAAAATTAGCTGGGAGTGGTGGAGCATGCCTGTAATCCCAGCTACTAGGGAGGCTGAGAAAGGAGAATCGCCTGAACCTGGGAGGCAGAGGTTGTGGTGAGCCACGATCATGCCATTGCAGCCTGGGCAACAGGAGCGAAACTCTGTCTCAAAAAAAAAAAAAAAGGAAAGTTTAGGTTGGGCAGCACAACCTCAGGTAAGGGTCAGCAGGGAAGCCCTCACTGAAGGAGATGGTGTTTGAGAAAAGGACAGAAAGAAGTAAGGTCATATGTGTTACAGGTTCTGGGGGAATGAGTTCAGCGGGCAGAGTTGAGATAGTTTGTCCATGGATCCGTGAAGCAGCAACTGTGATTGTAGCAGACAAGCAAAGGGAGTGCAATAAGATGAGATCAGAGAGGCAGTGGAGGACAAACTCCTGGCACGATTTACTGGTTATTTCAAAGACTTCAGCTTTTGCTCTGAGTCAGGAGGATTTTCAATTGAGGAGTGATATGACATGTTTTAACAGGGTCCCTCGGGCTCCTGTGCTGAGAATAATCACAAGGAGGATAAGGACAGAAACAAGACAATCACTCAAGAGTTTACTGCACCATCCCAGACTAGGATGATAGCAGTGGAGGTAGGATGCACAGGTTAGATTTTGGTTACATGGTAAAAATGGGGCTGATATACTTTGCTAATGTGTCAGATATGTGGTGTGAGACAAAGATGGGAGTCAAGGTTAATTTCAGGGTGTCTGATAGTTGGAAACATGGTGTCCCCAAGAACTGAGATGGGACAGAAAACAGATGGAGCAGATGTGGAAGGGATTGTGAAGAGCCCATTGTTACAAGTTAGACTGGAGGTTTGTTTTGTATGTTCAGATGCTGATGTCGAGTAGGTAGCGAAATGGATGAGACTGGACTACTAAGGTGAGATCCAGGCCAGAGGTGCAGACTTGGGTTTTATATTTAAATTCATGAGATTAAATGAAATTATAGGGGAGAAAAGAAATCTTTCTCTCTATATTCTCAAGTTCTTTGGCTGGGTCCCTGTAGAGTGACAAAAAAGAATTAACAAGAGTGAAACAAACAGAAATTTATTAACTTGTGCATCACACATGTACATGGGAAAACTCAATGATGAGTAACTCGAAGAGGTCATTAGAATTTGTGGTGTTTTTACCCAACATAGTAGGGGAAAGGGAGGGGAATAAAGGGCACTTGGGAAAAACAAATGCCTTTTGTGAAAAGATACATGGGTCTTTTTGGAGCAGAATCAATGGCAGAGGTAATAGTCTTGTGACAATGATGGGTGTGTGCAGACTTTTCATCTCTAAGAAAATTAGAATTGTTACTGAGGAAGAGAATAATGACAATTGAGTTCTTTTGGGAGGTTCTGCTTTTAGGCAGATAGGATATTTCAGGAACTCTAATGCCTTCAGTTCAAAATATTCTTAAACCAAAGTGGTATATTTCAGAGTGGCATATCCTGATCTCCTTCAAGATCACCGACAGAAAGTAAGGTAAGGATTGAGCCCTGGGCACCCTGGTGTTTGGAGATTGAAGTAATGACCGTGAGCCATAAAGGAAGTGTCTAATATGGGGTTCTAGAGACCAAAGAAGGAAAGCGTTTGTAGTGGCAGAAAGTGGCCAGCTCTGTTGATTATGTCCAATATTTAACTCTTATGCTTCAACTTAATGTATATATGTTTCCTTTCTAGAACAAAGAAAAACCTGTGCAAATGATGTCTAAGGAATCTGCTTTTAAAACCACCTATGTAAGGAAAATATCCAGCCAAATTCTAGTGCTTCCCTATGTTGGACAGGAGCTGAATATGATCATCATACTTCCCAGTGAAAACACTGATTTGAAAATGGTAAAGAGTGTTTAAAGTATGCATTTCATCATAGTAAAGGTTCTCACAAGCTTTTAAGGAAAAAAAGAAACCTTGAAAATTTGTTTTTACCAGTGTTTCCCTGAATTATTGGGCCATATGCCCTTTTCTCTTTTTGTGATTACATCCAGCGGGATGGTGTTCTAAGTGTTGAATGCAATTTAGAAAATACTCTTATTCTAGAATGGGCTCAGGTTGGGGCCAAACCAGGTCAGAGTTCAATGTCCCGCTTGACAAGTTAGAAACCTGTACTCTCTCAGGCTTATTCCTATGGAAGGTGGTGGCAGGACCTCCCTATGAGGCATGGTGTATAAAATGTATTTGTTTCGATGCTCAGAGTATGCCATTGACTATTATTAGTAGTCTTCTCCACAACCTTGCCCCATAGTTGTGAGTTTGCTCTTTAGAAAGCAGTCAGCTGGGGAGCAGCTGCTGTGACTCAGCATATTACCTAAGGATCTTGTTAGAAAGAAGTTTCTGGTTTAGTAGGACTGGAGTGGAGGAGTCTGAGAATCTGCATTAACACCAAACTCCTAGGCGATGCCGAGGCTGCTGGCCCATGGACCACGCTGAATAGCTAGGTTGTAGAGAGTCAATGAAAAACATTAGCTGGACAGTAATTCGAATTTTTAGCAAACGAATCCTTATGTTTGCAATGGATGAATTGGAAGTGTCAAGAATGAGAATGGAGATAGGTCAGAAAGGAGGTTGCTATGCTTTTCAAACAAAACATGACAAGGGGGGCAGAGATGGAGGAAGGGCCAGATGAGAGAGAGATTTGGGATTTTAAATTAACAGAAAATGATGAGGGATTTGTTGGAAGAAACTTTGGACGGAAGAAAAGGCAAGTCTGAGAGGTCCTACTTCAACATGCTTCTGTTCAGGTACAACACCAAACTTTGTGAGAAGAGCCATTCTCATGCAAATGTAGCCAAATTGTAAAATTCTGCCTCAGGGAAATGGTCTGACTTAGTTTCTGGAAATGAAGACGCAAGCACAGAAATATAAGATCAATTCATACGTGAATGGTTTAGCATTACTGTGCTGTCTCCCAGATGTGTGCAGTCCAATATGGTAGCCGCTGGCCACCTGTAACTATTTACATTTACGTTAGTTGAAATTAAATACAATTTTAAAAATAAAGGCTTCCTTTATACTACACACACTTTTAGTGCTCCATAGCCATATTGGCTCATGGCTATCACATTTGGCACCATGGCCATATGTCATTAACATCATAGCAGAAAACTGTATTGGGGCAACACTGATCTAGACCCTAAAACATCCAACACTCTTCTTCCAGGTTGAGAAAAAACTTTCTTATGAGAGATTCATAGAATGGACAAAGCCAGACAAGATGCAAGCACGAGAGATGGAAGTTTTTTTTCCTAGATTTAAACTGGAGGAATCTTACAACGTGGCGGATGTCCTTCGCAGTATGGGCATGGTCGATGCCTTTGAACAGGACAGGGCGGACTTCTCAGGAATGTCATCTAAGAAGGATCTGTACTTGTCCAAGGTCATGCACAAGTCCTTTGTGGAGGTCAATGAGGAAGGTACAGAAGCAGCAGCAGCTACAGAAGACGAAATAGTTTACTGTTGTGCCAGCTACACCCTCAGGTTCTGTGCAGACCATCCCTTCCTCTTCTTTATCCAGCACATCAAAACCAATAGTATTCTCTTCTGTGGCCGATTTTCCTCTCCATAGGTAGTCATTGGATATAGCCCTTCTCTTTTCTCTTAGTGATCTGCACTTCCTCTACTCTTTAAAGTGTGCCTGTGACCCAAAGTGACTTTATTATTGCAGCAGTCAAAAATGAGATATTAGGAACCTAATTTTGAAATTCCTCGTTGAGAACTCTTGTGTGTGTGTTTGCATGTTAAATGTTTTCTAGGGCCTTTATTTGATAGTCTCTGAGGATTTCGTGGTCACTTTGCAGGTGGTATCTATGACCACTTGGTCAAACCCCTCTGTTTGAAATGAGGTATTACCCCCTCTCCATTCCCCCACCAACACATTCCAACTGTCAGAGGTATTTGCTGTCTCCTCATTTTGTGTATGGTGACACCCTCACAGTCTGCTATGCTTCTGTTTTCTCAAGTACAAGAAGATACGTGTTGTTTTCTGTCTTCTCTGTTCAATAGTATTGACATATATGGACCCATTTTTAACGAAACAATAGAAAGCGAAATGGAGAGTGTGGAGGAAGCACAGTGAGCAGGACTCAGGATGATCAGAAGCAGTCCAGCACGGTGGCTCACACCTGCAGCCAGCACTTTGGGAGGCTGAGGTGGGTGGATCACTTGAGGCCAGGAGTTTGAGACCAGCTTGGCCAAATATGGTGAAACCCCATCTCTACTAAAAATACAAAAAGTAGCTGGGCATGGTGGCACATGCCTGTAGTCCTAGCTACTTGGGAGGCTAAGGCAGGAGAATTGCTTGAAGCTGGGAGGCGGAGGCTCCAGTGAGCCGAGATCATGCCACTGCACTCTAGCCTGGGTGACAGGGCAAGATTCTGTCTCAACAACTCAAAAAAAAAAAAAAAAAAAGAAAGAAAGAAAGAAAAGAAAAGAAATTTTCAGAAGCAACTTCTATTCCAGAATTTTACCAGTTCTTCAGAAGCTGGCACAGAGGGTGAGGAGAGAGCAGTTACCTGACACCAGTGAGAATTCAGTCCCATTTCCCGGGTGTTTCTTTTTTCTTTCTTTCTTTTCTTTTTTTTTTTTTTTTTGAGTTGGAATTTCGCTCTTGTTGCCCAGGCTGGAGTGCAATGGCACGATCTTGGCTCACCGCAACCTTCGCCTCCCAGGTTCAAGCGATTCTCCTGCCTCTCCTCCTGAGTAGTTGGGATTACAGGCATACGCCACCATGCTGGGCTAATTTTGTATTTTTAGTAGATACAGGGTTTCTCCATTTTGGTTAGGCTGGTCTTAAATTCCTGACCTCAAGTGATCTGCCCGCCTCGGCCTCCCAAAGTGCTGGGATTACAGGCGTGAGCCACCCCGCCCAGTCTTCTGTTTCATTCATAGTTTGCATTCACAGGGATCAGTGGGTCACAAGCCTATTCAAATGTACAACCATCCACTTCCTCCGAAAATTTACACTTGCTACCAGGAGGCAGAGATGATGAGATATGTTCTATTCACAGTAATGCAGTTTGAGATAGCTTCATGCGTATACATCACATGTCTTTCTATATTATTTAAAATATGTTTTGAAAAGCAAGCTAAGCTTTTTGTGGCCATTTGTCTTACAGGCTTAAAATGCAACAGTTGTGATCAATGATAAGGGAACACACTGATGAGTTAGATTGAAGAGGGAGAGCTACATTGTTTTCTAGGGCACAGCTAAAAAGACTTACTCCATCAACCCCCTTGCAGCCAGAAAGACCCCGAGCCCTCAGAACTTCACAACCCATATTTTCACTCCATAGCTGGCCCACTTTCCCCTTTGTACCCAAGCCAGTTACTTAGCTTCAGGGAGAGAATGGAACTGAGGATGACAAGGAAACATCCACGTTGTATGTGTGCTGAGAGAGGAAAGAGAGAGTATCAGAGGTTGCTGTTATTCTCATTTCTCTTCCTCCTCTGCCCAACACTTGGACTTGGAAAGAAGACAGGAAGGTGGGGAGTAATCAGTCCATGTGATTCTTCCACTGCAGAGAGAGCCTCTGAGTGTTACGGACAGGGGCAACTGGGTGGCACTCTGTTCCTCAGGGAAACACACGCCTCTTTGCACTGCTTTGAGGATAGTCCAGTCAAGTGGAGTAAGAGTTGGGAATGGGGAATATAAATGGAGCAGTCTCTAACTATCCAAGCAGGAGGGTGTTTCTTTTTCCTCTTTCCTGGAATGAGGATAATCAAATCATATTAATAATGAATTATGAAAATGAATGATAATGGTTTTATCTGTTATAGAAATATAATGTAATCAGGCTTTAGCCATGTAAATCATAAATCAGAGAAAAACAATATGCATATTGATCCTAGAGGAATGAATATGAATGTTTCCTGTTGTATCTGAAGGGTTATCACTCAATATTTTATTTCTGTCTTGTAAGGCCTGAAATCCCTGTGCAGCTTGACATCTGTGGGCTTCTCAGTGTCTCAAAGGCCTGGCAGTGTGGTCCTCTGCTCTTGTTAGATATGTGCACCCTATTCACCCACTGAGCAGGAAGGCTCCTCACTTTTCTTAGCTCTCCAATCAGCCAGTCAGCAGTACCCCACCTGGGTCTCAACCTGGCTCAATTCCCCACCAGCCTAGAAAATTATTCAAACAAGCCTGTCACATCTGGAGGAGCCTGGGTTCATCTCTTCCTCTTGTAGTGCAAAGCTGGCCTCCCACAGCCCCTGCTGGTTCACTCTGTTCCCAAATGCAGCTCTCCTGCCACCCTGTAGGGCATGTGGTGTCCTCCCTCCTGGGCTGTGAGCAGATGTGACTAATAAACGGCAGCCAACTTCATCTGTCCCTGTCTCATGCTGTGTGTCTGTTTATCTCCTACTATTTAGTGGGGGAGATCCCTCCTTCACCAACAAGGTGAATATGAGATGATCAAAACAACTACCCTTCAGCGAAAGGTCCAACCTCCCAAATAATGATTCCACGTCTTTTCTGAAATTGCACTAAGACATTTCCATTACACTATGTAGAGTTTCTTGTACTTATCCACAAAGTGAATTCCATTTAGAATTGAATTCTAGGAAAAAGTTGATCTCACCTCTTCAGAGATGTTTACTCCATTGAACATTTTACATAGATTATTTAATCCTCAGGGATAATAAACTCGTGAGGAATCTGAGACTCAGATTAGTAACTTTAACAAGTTCTTGTAGCTAGCAACAAGGTAGAACATGGATCCAATGTCTGGTAATGCAAAAAACTGGAAAATTACTCAAACAAGGCTGGTACATCCAGGAGAGCCACAGGTAATCTCTTCCTGTTGTTATTGTGAAACTTGCCTGTAACAGCACCTACCAGAAGGGGAGCTGTCACCACAGTGCAGGAGGAGAATGGACCAGAAACCTGACTCCCTTTAACATGAAGTCGGATTTCTCTGGCTATTCTCCCATCGGAAAAGTGCGACTCAGAAACTTCCGGTACCAAAAGCACATCATCCTGGACCCAGGGATGAGCACTTGGAATATGGACCTCAGGTCAGGTGCATCTGGGCTCCGTGAACTCAGCAAGTGTTTCTACCTTCTCCAGGAGTCCTGGATGGAGGCCCTGAGAGCCTTTGCTCCTTCTATGCATCAATAAATGGGAACTCTAAGGTTTTTGCATTCCTCTTTTCAAAGAGGGCTGCAGGGCCACAGTTGCAAAGGAGGGGTCCAAAGCAGGGGATGGTTTGGAGGCTGAGAAGACGGAGGCTGTGCTTGCACCAAGTCTCCTCCAGAAGCTGATGTGGTTCTGCATGTGAAAGGTGGCCTTTCCTTTCCTGACTTGAAGCTTCTGTGTTGAAGGAGATGGAGGGGGCAGAGGACTGGAGGGAGGTTTCCAGTCCTCTGGGTTTTCTGCACAAGCTGTTGTTGACCTGATATTTGCAGGCCATAGCATGGAATAGGCACATCTGATTGGCACATCTAGTGGCTGTTGGGGAATACAGCATAAAATTCCTCTCACACCAATGCTAGCGTTGATTTCAGAAGTAGTCTTCTCTCTCCCTCCCTCCCTCCCTCCCTCCTTTCCTCCCTTCCTCCCTCCCTCTCTCCCTCTCTCTCTCTTTCTCTCTTTTTTCCCTTCTTGACACAGAGTATTGCTCTGTCATCCAGGCTGGAGCACAGTGGTGTGATCTCAGTTCTCTGCAACCTCCAGCTCCCTGGTTCAAGCAGTTCTCCTGCATCAGCCTCCCAAGTGGCTGAGACTACAGGTACACACCACCACATCCAGCTAATTTTGTATTTCTATTAGAGACGGGGTTTCACCTTATTGATCAGAATGGTCTCAATCTCTTGACCTCATGATCCACCCGCCTGGGCCTCCCAAAGTGCTGGGATTACAGGCGTGAGCTACTGTGCCTGGCCAGAAATAGTTTACTTTCTCTAGCTGCTTGTGACCAAGCATACAATGTTTTATCAGCGAATTTCTTACATGCTATCCTTGAAATGAAGGATTCTGGAGAGGATCAGGAAAAGAGAGACAGATTCATTAGTTATCATCCATATTTAATGGATTACACCTGTAATCCCAGCACTTTGGGAGGCTTAGGTGGGCAGATTACCTGAGGTCTGGAGTTCGAGATCATCCTGGCCAACATGGTGAAACCCTATCTCTACTAAAAATACAAACAAAAACAAAAACCTAAAAAATTAACTGGGCATGGTGGCACCTGCCTGTTGTTCCAGCTACTCAGGAGGCTGAGCCAGGAGAATCGCTTCCGCCCAGGAGGTAGAGGTTGCAGTGAACTGAGATCATTCCACTGCACTCCAGCCTGGGCACCAGAGTGAGACTCTATCTCAGAAAATAAAAATAAAATACCATAGACTAGAGAGTTTAAACAACTGGCATTTCTCAGCATTCTGGAGGCTGGGAAGTCCAAGATCAGGGTACCAGGAGGTTTGGTTTCTGATGACAGCTCCTTTCCTGGCTTGTAGAAGGCCTCCTTTTAGCTAGGTCCTCACGTGGCAGAGAGAGCAGTTTCTCTCTTCTTCTTCTTTTAATGCCACTAATTCCTTCAAGAGGGCCTAACTCTCCTGACTTTATTTTACCGCGATCAACTCCCAAATGCCCTATCTCCAAATGCCATAATCTTAGGGGATAGAGATTTTACATAAAAATTTTGTGAGGACATAATACAGTCCCTAGTGTATGTCTTTTCCTAAGCCCTTAGTTCTTTTTGTCCACTTACCCCAAGACATGAAGTGGCAGTTTCTCTTTTGTACCTTCTACATCTGCTCCCATTACAGTTTTTTTTAAATCTATTACTTAACAATTCTCTATATTCTCCTCTCTTCAAATCTCTGATGTAGTTTTTGTTTGCAGAGTGAACACTGCCTGATATAACTGAATAAGCATCTCTCCCACTGTTATGAAAGAGTGGGGTAGAAGTTTGAAGTCCACCATGCGGGTCTACCAAACCCATCCTGGCTTGAGGGAATGCAGATATTAGAATAACTACTTCATTAAAAACAGAGAATTCTGAGATTAATGCTGAATTAGGCAGGGCACTAGAACAACTGATATGAACTTACACTGTTTCAACAATCAATGGTAACTCTATTGCTAAACTAAAATCTGAGAAGATATCAGGGATCTGCCATTCAACTTTCCTATCTGCACACGTTCAATCCAAGCACAAAAAGATACATT